CTGTGAAGGAAGAGAGAGAAGGGCGTGAGAAACAAGCGATAAACAGAAAACAGCAAATGAGTGAAATGAATGAATTCCCTAAAAGGGCGTAAATAAATCCAGAAAATGGAGATGGACCCAAGAAGGAGCTGCTCTTCCCTGCAGGACCCTCCGGGACCCTCCTCCACGGCCCGTTAGAGCGCTGACCTGGAACACCCAGTGATGACCTCCCTCGCCCCGCCCGCCCCGTAACAGCCGCCAATCCCTAAAAATGGGTTCCTTGACTCCCATTCCTCCCTTCGCCGCTCCCCATCCACGCCGCCATTCCTCCGCCTGACCAGCGCCGCCCCGAGGTCTCCCCCTTCTCTCCCTCGCCTCCTGCTCCTGCGGCTGCTCCCACCCCGCCTCCTCTCGCTGGGCGGCGCCGTCCCCCTCGCCAGCGCCGCCGAGCGATCGCCTGGCGAACTCGCGCCTCCTCGCCCCACTCCAGCACCGCCTCCCTTCCCGATCCTTCTCCAGGTGGTTAACTTACGAACACACGTGCGTGCACAGAAACTTACACAAACATACATACAGACACGCACGCACGCACACACGCACACGCACAGCGACAGCCGCACACGAAGTCCAGGCGGCTCATGAGCCTCCAGAGCGGCCGGGCGAGACAGCGGCGCCCCTTCCTACAAGGTCATGGCACACGCCAGCCCAAACCACCGCATCGCCATGTACGGGCGTGGGTGTGCGCGCGTCTGCAGGCCGAGGCATCAACAACACCGCTATCGCCGCCTGCCCTTCCCCTCCCTCCCCTTCCCCCCTCCCCACCCCACACCCTCGGGCTCCCCAGCCTCACAGTTCAACGGCGGTTCATTCATTCATAACCTCCGCCCATTCAGAAAGGTGAGTGTGTGTTTGTTCTTTTCTCTACCTGTCTGTCTCTGTCTCTGTCTGTCTCTGTCTCTGTGTCTCTCTCTGTCTCTGTCTCTGTCTCTGTCTCTGTCTCTGTCTCTGTCTCTCTCTCTCTCTCTCTATGCGACGGAAGCGCACCCAAGTACCTTTATACATACGCAAAGACGACTTTCCTCTGTTACTGTTTTCTCTCTCTCCTGTTTATGAAGATGCACAAAATATACACACGCTCATGAACACGGACGCAGCTTGACCTCCCACTGTAATCATCACTTTTCTCCTCTTTCCTCTCTTTTCTCCTCCTTCCTCTCCCGCAACATTCGCACGAGAGCATACGAGCCCGCTCATAAACACACGCAAGCCGACCTTCCCGTTTCTTGCCTTCCTCCGCGACCTCCGCCGGCATCCGACAAGGCATCATCATCAACGGGCCTTGACACACGCTGGCCAGGAAGTCGCGGAAAACAATTAGGAAAATGAGAGAAGAGAAAAGTAAGAAAGAAAAAAGGGAATACGAGCCGTCATCAAAGCGCCGAGATCGGTAGTTGCGGCAGCGTTAAAATCCCCCCCCTCACACGCGCCGTTCTTCCCGCTCTCCGGCCCCTCCTCCTTCCTTCCTTCCTTCCTGTGTCTCTCGCTCTCGCTCTCCCCCTTAAAAAAATCGTGACGAAAGCTGACCTCCTCTAGGCGACACTCACGGACACTGGGCACTCTCACTCACTCATTTGGTCTGTCTGTCGCTAACCACTCTCTCCCTCCCCATCTCCCTCTCCCTCACCCTCCCCACCTCCCTCTCCCTCACCCTCTTCCTCGCCCTCACCCTCCCCATCTCCTCTCCCTTCCCTTTCCTCCCTCGTTTCAAACCTTCCCGTCAACATCTGTAATTTCTCTACATGGACGCGACCCAAACGTAATCTTTGTCGGCGATGCGCTAGAGTACGCCTCCCCCCCCCCCTACCCCTCTCCCCTCCTAACGAGAAATGCGCAATTCCATCCTCGGTCTAAACCATTGGCATGCAGCCGGCCTCGTGGTACCTCCTTTTACGTGGCTTAGTCGCCATCGCCGTGTGCAGGTTTGCCTTTCCGAATTGTAAAAAGAAAAATTAAGGAATAGTAAAAAAAAAATTAATATCATCATCGGAGTAAGAGGATTACAAAACGGTGGGTTTTCTCGTGGGGAGAGAGCTAGCGTCGGCAGCAGAGGATGAATGAATGAACGTATGAATGGACGCCAATCTAAGGCGCAGCAGGACAGATCATAAAATATATCTAATGATACGGGAAGACTTGCATTCACGCATTTGCAAACACAAAAACACAAACACAGGCAATAATAAATAAATAAATAAATAAATAACGTTCGCATGTGAATCTGTCATAAATGTTTATTTACTACCACGTCTTCTCAGCATCTGAATTCAACAAGAGACAAAAATGAGTCTCATGAAAGTTTTAAATGCCCCTCACGATGACCGCTCACTCAAGCACTCTGGTAATGAGGTTGATATCGTTGGTAATTTCAAGCATGTGTGTGACTGCGAATGCATTTTGCGCTTTAAGGAATACGCGAAGTGTGAGTCCGAATACGCGATCGACGGCGCCTCAGACGGCCTCTTTGGGCGGAATTCAGGCACACAAACTATATATATATGTATACATGGATACACACACACACACACACACATTCTCTCATTCTCTCATCTCATCTCTCTCTCTCTCTCTCTCTCTCTCTCTCTCTCTCTCTCTCTCTCTCTCTCTCTCTCTCTCTCTCTCTCTCTCTCTCTCTCTCTCTCTCTCTATATATATATATATACTATATATATATATATATATATATATATATATATATATATATATATATATATATATAGTTTCATATAAATATAAAAATAAATTAATATATATACTAAAAAAACAGCTAATCAACTCGACCTCGTACCACCCCGTCCCTAGGCCTACCCGAGACCCAATGGTGCCAATGACAGTGCCTCGCAGTGCCAACAGGAGGAGGAACCAGCTTCCCGACTTCCTGCTCTGGCACCTCCGGAACGTCGGGCGAGGCCATCGGACCTTACACGAAGGGAGAAAGGGCACCAACACTCCCGCTTATACAGTGACTCACATACAAACGTAGCCTACATACATACTTAAGTACATACACACACGCACATACACGCGCACGCACACACACACACACACACACACACACACACACACACACACACACACACACACACACACACATACACACACACACACACACACACACAATGAATATACATGCACACATACATATATACATACATATATACATACATATACACATACATGCACACAGAAACAGACATAGGTGCACAGGCAGACACACACACAGACACAAAGACTAAAACAAGCACTTACTCACACGCATAAACGTACACAAAACCCAGGTAAACATAGGCAAGAGACCCAGGATCACACGGAGGCTCAGACCCAGGTAATCACACGCACGCACGCACGCACGCAGACACAAACACAGGAATACATAAAATAAATAAGAAATACATGTAAGAACAGCTTTAGAGAAATAACTAGCACGGAGGCGCATCAGTATACCACAAAAACTACCAAAATTCTGTAAAATTCATTTGCATAAAACGCAAAAAAGCTTGCAATAAAAATATAAAAAGCTTTCTCTACTGACCCACTTCACAGGCATACGGACAGTACCTGGTCCCGTTTCTTGTTGTACTTTTCCTGCAAATTTTCCTTCATACGATGGTAGACTAGCCCCCCCCCCCCTCCCCTATCTCTCCCAAGTCCCCATCTCCCATTACTCTTTTTTTCTTCTTTCATCCTTTCACAAAACAACGTACCCCCCCCCCCCCCCCCCCCCGCCCTCCTTCCACCAGCAGCAGCAACAGCCCGACCTTGCTACCGTTGCCAGCGCCCATTCATCCGCTTCCAAGGAATGCTAGAACGGACCCCTTGCCTCTCCGGCTCGCCACCCCATAAGGACTACCACCTCGTTTGATTTTAATAGCGAAATCGACCTTCGCGCATCCCCGACGCTGGCCCCTATGAACCCGTCGTCCTGCAGGCCGCCGCTAATGACAACTTCCTCCCGTTTTCTACCATATAAAGAAAACGAAGGTTGGCCACTATCACCGCCATCACCCATCGCAAAGCAACACCATTCACCACCGCCACCTGGGTAGGGGTGCGGGCAGGCGCAAGGGAATTGCAAAGGTACAGGAAAATGAGAGGGAGAAATTGTACGAAAAGAGGGAGAAGTCTGATAGATCACTGTGGGAAAAAAAACTAAGCAATCAAGTGCATTAGACGAAAAAAAAAAACGTATTGAAAAACTTGTCTCTAAATATGTGTGAGTAAAATAACATTAATAACAATTCTACAATCAACTCCAACCAATACGATAAGCTGACCTTAAAGTCTTCGGGCGGCCGCGTGACCTTACTGCGCAGCCCCACCGAGTGACAGGTACCCCCCCCCCCAAGACCGGCCGGACCTTTCACACAACACAAACCTGCACTACGAGCGACCTGCATTACGGTACATAACCCTCACGTCGAGCATCGTTCATCTTACGCTATAAAAGGACTCGTTCGCTGACGTGGGCGTATTCTGGCATTCGGTTTCATTCTCTCCCGCCCGAGGTGAATGGCATGGTAACTCTGCGCTTGTTTTGACACCTGCGAGCCACCTGGGCACCGGGGAGAGGCTGACCCACATGGCACTCGCCGCCGACACCCCCTTCTTTTTCATCTCTCTCTCTCTTCTCTCTCTCTCTCTCTCTCTCTCTCTCTCTCTCTCTCTCTCTCTCTCTCTCTCTCTCTCTCTCTCTCTCTCTCTCTCTCTCTCTATCTCTCTCTATCTCTATCTCTATCTCTAATCTCTATCTCTATCTCTATCTCTATCTCTATCTCTATCTCTATCTCTATCTCTATCTACCTCTCTCCCTAATTCTCTTTCCATTTATCATTTACGTATATTTCTTATGACTATTACTTCACATATGGTTTAAGTACTTTCATCATCACCATCGTCAGCAGCAGCATTCCACCATCAAATCTCATTTTCACCTTCCCCTCATCCATCTATCCACCAACCAACCT